TTTATTGCATGACATAAGTATTAGATCACCTACCAACCAGTAAGAATTCCGGCTCTCTCACAGACCTGTTAGTTTTTCTTTAAGAAGCCCTCCTGTTCTCCACTCATTATCTGTATTAACTGCACCTGTTTGAACTCGTTACCTGTATAAAAGACACCTGTCCACACACTCAATCAAACAGACACCAACCTCTCCACAATGGCCAAGACCAGAGAGCTGTGTAAGGACATAAGGAATAAAATTGTAGACCTGCACAAGGCTGGGATGGGCTACAGGTCAATAGGCAAGCAGCTTGGTGAGAAGGCAACAACTGTTGGTGCAATTTTTAGAAAATGGAAGAAGTTCAAGATGACAGTCAATCACCCTCGGTCTGGGGCTCCATGCAAGATCTCACCTCGTGGGGCATCAATGATCATGAGGAAGGTGAGGGATCAGCCCAGAACTACATGGCAGGACCTGGTCAATGACCTGAAGAGAGCTGGGATGACAGTCTCAAAGAAAACCATTAGTAACACACTACGCCGTCATGGATTAAAATCCTGCAGCGCACGCAAGGTCCCCCTGCTCAAGACAGCGCATGTCCAGGCCCGTCTGAAGTTTGCCAATGACCATCTGGATTATCCAGAGGAGGAATGGGAGAAGGTCATGTGGTCTGATGAGAGAAAAATATAGATTTTTGGTCTAAACTCCACTTGCCGTGTTTGGAGGAAGAAGAAGGATGAGTACAACCCCAAGAACACCATCCCAACCGTGAAGCATGAGGTGGAAACATCATTCTTTGGGGATGCTTTTCTGCAAAGGAGACAGGCCAACTGCACCGTATTGAGGGGAGGATGGATGGGGACATGTATCGCGAGATCTTGGCCAACAACCTCCTTCCCTCAGAAAGAGCATTGAAGATGGGTCGTGGCCGGGTGTTCCAGCATGACAACGACCCGAAACACACAGCCAGGGCAACTAAGGAGTGGCTCCGTAAGAAGCAAATCAAATCAAATCAAATCAAATCAAATTGTATTGGTCACATGCGCCGAATACAACAGGTGCAGACATTACAGTGAAATGCTTACTTACAGCCCTTAACCAACAGTGCATTTATTTTAAACAAAAAAGTAAGAATAAAACAACAACAAAAAAGTGTTGAGAAAAAAAGAGCAGAAGTAAGATAAAGTGACAGTAGGGAGGCTATATATACAGTAAAATAAAGTGACAGTAGGGAGGCTATATATACATGGGGGTACCGTTGCATAGTCAATGTGCGGGGGCACCGGCTAGTTGAGGTAGTTGAGGTAATATGTACATGTGGGTAGAGTTAAAGTGACTATGCATAAATACTTAACAGAGTAGCAGCAGCGTAAAAAGGATGGGGTGGGGGGGCAGTGCAAATAGTCCGGGTAGCCATGATTAGCTGTTCAGGAGTCTTATGGCTTGGGGGTAGAAGCTGTTGAGAAGTCTTTTGGACCTACACTTGGCACTCCGGTACCGCTTGCCATGCGGTAGCAGAGAGAACAGTCTATGACTAGGGTGGCTGGAGTCTTTGACAATTTTGAGGGCCTTCCTCTGACACCGCCTGGTATAGAGGTCCTGGATGGCAGGGAGCTTTGCCCCAGTGATGTACTGGGCCGTACGCACTACCCTCTGTAGTGCCTTGCGGTCAGAGGCCAAGCAGTTGCCATACCAAGCGGTGATGCAACCAGTCAGGATGCTCTCGATGGTGCAGCTGTAGAATTTTTTGAGGATCTGAGGACCCATGCCAAATCTTTTTAGTCTCCTGAGGGGGAATAGGCTTTGTCGTGCCCTCTTCACGACTGTCTTGGTGTGTTTGGACCATGATAGTTCGTTGGTGATGTGGACACCAAGGAACTTGAAGCTCTCAACCTGTTCCACTACAGCCCCGTCGATGAGAATGGGGGCGTGCTCAGTCCTCTTTTTTTTCCTGTAGTCCACAATCATCTCCTTTGTCTTGGTCACGTTGAGGGAGAGGTTGTTGTCCTGGCACCACACGGCCAGATCTCTGACCTCCTCCCTATAGGCTGTCTCATCGTTGTCGGTGATCAGGCCTACCACTGTTGTGTCGTCGGCAAACTTAATGATGGTGTTGGAGTCGTGCCTGGCCATGCAGTCATGGGTGAACAGAGAGTACAGGAGGGGACTGAGCACGCACCCCTGAGGGGCCCCCGTGTTGAGGATCAGTGTGGCAGATGTGTTGTTACCTACCCTTACCACCTGGGGGCGGCCCGTCAGGAAGTCCAGGATCCAGTTGCAGAGGGAGGTGTTTAGTCCCAGGATCCTTAGCTTAGTGATGAGCTTTGAGGGCACTATGGTGTTGAATGCTGAGCTTTAGTCAATGAATAGCATTCTCACGTAGGTGTTCCTCTTGTCCAGGTGGGAAAGGGCAGTGTGGAGTGCGATAGAGATTGCATCATCTGTGGATCTGTTGGGGCGGTATGCAAATTGGAGTGGGTCTAGGGTTTCTGGGATTATGCTGTTGATGTGAGCCATGACCAGTCTTTCAAAGCACTTCATGGCTACAGACGTCAGTGCTACGGGTCGGTAGTCATTTAGGCAGGTTATCTTAGAGTTCTTGGGCACGGGGACTATGGTGGTCTGCTTGAAACATGTTGGTATTACAGACTCAGTCAGGGACATGTTGAAAATGTCAGTGAAGACACTTGCCAGTTGGTCAGCACATGCTCGGAGTACACGTCCTGGTAATCCGTCTGGCCCTGCGGCCTTGTGAATGTTGACCTGCTTAAAAGTCTTACTCACATCGGCTACGGAGAGCGTGATCACATAGTCGTCTGGAACAGCTGGTGCTCTCATGCATGCTTCAGTGTTGCTTGCCTCGAAGCGAGCATAGAAGTGGTTTAGCTCGTCTGGTAGGTTTGTGTCACTGGGCAGCTCGCGGCTGTGCTTCCCTTTGTAGTCTGTAATAGTTTTCAAGCCCTGCCACATCCGACGAGCGTCAGAGCCAGTGTAGTATGATTCAATCTTAGACCTGTATTGACTCTTTGCCTTTTTGATGGTTCGTCGGAGGTCATAGCGGGATTTCTTATAAGCGTCCGGGTTAGAGTCCCGTTCCTTGAAAGCGGCAGCTCTACCCTTTAGCTCAGTGCGGATGTTTCCTGTAATCCATGGCTTCTGGTTGGGGTATGTACGTACGGTCACTGTGGGGACGACATCATCGATGCACTTATTGATGAAGCCAGTGACTGATGTGGTGTATTCCTCAATGCTGTCTGAAGAATCCCGGAACATGTTCCAGTCTGTGCTAGCAAAACAGTCCGGTAGCTTAGCATCTGCGTCATCTGACCACTTTTTTATTAGCCGAATCACTGGTGCTTCCTGCTTCAGTTTTTGCTTATAAGCAGGAATCAGGAGGATAGAGTAATGGTCAGATTTGCCAAATGGAGGGCGAGGGAGAGCTTTGTATGCGTCTCTGTGTGTGGAGTAAAGGTGGTCTAGAGTTTTTTCCCCTCTGGTTGCACATTTAACATGCTGGTAGAAATGAGGTAGAACGGATTTAAGTTTCCCTGCATTAAAGTCCCCGGCTACTAGGAGCGCTGCATCTGGATGAGCGTTTTCCTGTTGATTAATGGCCTTGTACAACTCATTCAGTGCAATCTTAATGCCAGCATTGGTTTGTGATGGTAAATAGACCGCTATGAAAAATATAGATGAAAACTCTCTTGGTAAATAGTGTGGTCTACAGCTTATCATAAGATACTCTACCTCAGGCGAGCAAAACCTCGAGACTTCCTTAGTATTTGATTTTGTGCACCAGCTGTTGTTTACAAATATACACAGACCGCCACCCCTCGTCTTACCGGAGTCTGCAGTTCTGTCCTGCCGATGTAGCGTATAGCCTGCTAGCTGAATGTTGTCATTGTTGTCGTTCAGCCACGACTCCGTGAAACATAAGATATTACAGTTTTTAATGTCCCGTTGGTAGGATAACCGTAATCTTAAATCGTCAATTTTATTCTCAAAAGATTGAACATTGGCTAATAGGATTGATGGGAGAGGCAGTTTACTCGTTCGCCGTCGGATCCTTACAAGGCACCCGGATCTGCGTCCACGATATCTCCGTCTCTTCCTCACGCGAATGACGGGGATCTGGGCCTTGTTGGGTGTCTGTAGAATATCCTTCGCGAACGCCTCGTTGAAGAAAAAATCTTCGTCCAACGCGAGGTGAGTAATCGCTGTCCTGATATCCAGAAGCTCTCTTTGGTTATAAGAGACGATGGCAGAAACATTATGTACAAAATAAATTACAAATAACGCGGAAAAACACACATAGTAGTACAATTGGTTAGAGGGCTGTAAAACGGCAGCCATCTTCTTCCGGCGCTGTTCTTGGGGTAGGAATGACATATGACAAGCATCTCAAGGTCCTGGAGTGGCCTAGCCAGTCTCCAGACCTGAACCCAATATAACATCTTTAGAGGGAGCTGAAAGTCCGTATTGTCCAGCGACAGCCCCGAAACCTGAAGGATCTGGAGAAGGTCTGTATGGAGGAGTGGGCCAAAATCCCTGCTGCAGTGTGTGCAAACCTGGTCAAGACCTACAGGAAACGTATGATCTCTGTAATTGCAAACAAAGGTTTCTGTACCAAATATTAAGTTCTGCTTTTCTGATGTATCAAATACATATGTCATGCAATAAAATGCAAATTAATTACTTAAAAATCATACAATTTGATTTTCAGGATTTTTGTTTTAGATTCCGTCTCTCACAGTTGAAGTGTACCTATGATAAAAATTACAGACCTCTACATGCTTTGTAAGTAGGAAAACCTGCAAAATCGGCAGTGTATCAAATACTTGTTCTCCCCACTGTACATCTCACACACACGCACGCACATGCACACTCGATTACACACACTCTCACTCACCCATCGCCTCTCACTCAAAACACAGCAGGAGAGCAAGAGGCTGACAGAGGGAGAGTGAAGGACAAAGAGCATTAAAGAGAGAGATAAAGGATGTGAAAGTAGACATGCATTAGTTTCTGCCTCCCTGTTGGTAGGTGAGAGGCTCCAGGAAATCCCAGAATCCTTCAATCAGACTGGCAGCAAACAACAACAAACAACATCGGGGCTATGTACCAATACCAAAAAGAGGCTTCCCTTCATATGTCATTGAACTCTTCCCTACCTATATCCTAAACCCTTCCCTGTGCCATATTCCCTTCTTTTCCGTTCTTATGTCCTATTCCCTTCCCTTCAGATGTCAGATTTCCCTCCTTTCTTATGTCCTATTTCCTTCCTTAATATCCTTTCCTTTCCTACGTCCTCCCTTCCGTTCCTATATCCTAAAACCCACCCTTTCCTAAATCCCCCCATTCCTTTCCTATGTTCTATCCCCCTGCCTTTCCTTTCCTACGTCCTAGAACCCTCCCCTTCTTTTCTACATCGTAATCCCTTCCATCTTATTTCCTTCCCTTCCTTTCCTATCCTATGTCCTTAAACTCTCACCTTCCTTTCCAATGTCCTAGTCTCTTCCCTTCATATTCTATATCATATCCCTTCCCTTCCTTTTCTAGGCCTATGTCCTCTTCCCTTCCCTTCCTAAGTCCTATTCCCTTTCCTTGATTTCCTGTTTGCATACCCTTCCTATTTAATATCCCTTCCTTTCCTACGTCACATTCCATTCGCTTCCTTTCCTATGTCCTTCCTTCCTTTTCTATATCCTATTTCATTCGCTTCCTTTCCTATGTCCTATTCCCATCCATTCCTTTCCTATGTCATAAAACCTTCCCCTTACTATATCCTGTCCTATTCTCCTTTCCTTAATTTCCTTAATTAGAAGGACATATACTTAGTGAAGATGTGGAGGCAATATGGCAGCAATTCCCTGTTTTTATGCCATATGATTATTAACTATCCCGTTTTTTTTTTAGGTATCAAGAGAATTCCCCAGACAGGAGTGAGAGAGGGAATAAAAATAGATTTAAAAAAGAGGGAGAAAGGAGGACAGAGAGAGAAAGAGATCAAGTGAGAAAAAGAGCAAGCAAGAGAGAGGGAAAGAGAGATAGGGGGAGGGAGGATCTGTGCTAACAGAGTGTTTGCTAACAGACCAGAGCTATTAGAATTCCCGTCACACACAGGTCCTTTGCTGGACAGAGAGAGAGAAGAGGAGAGGAGAGGAGAGGAGAGGAGAGGAGAGGAGAGGAGAGGAGAGGAGAGGAGAGGAGAGGAGAGGAGAGGAGAGGAGAGGAGAGGAGAGGAGAGGAGAGGAGAGGAGAGGAGAGGAGGAGAAATCACGGTTAACCCAGAACTAAAATCTTGCATAATTTGGTAAGATTTGCGAAGTCTCCACCCTTGTAAACGGAAATCTCGGCCATTGCTGAAAGCTATAAATATTTGTATTTACTAAACATTAGGAACACCTGCTCTTTCCATGACATACACTGACCAGGTGAATCCTGGTGAAAGCTATGATCCCTTATTGATGTCACTTTAAATCAGTAGATTACGGGGAGGAGACAGGTTAAAGGATTTTTAAGCCTTCAGACAATTGAGACATGGATTGTGTATGTGTGCCATTCAGAGACTGAATCGACAAGACAAAATATTTAAGTGCCTTTGAGCAGGGTATGGTGGTAGGTGCCAGGCGCAATGGTTTGAGTGTGTCCACCACCCAAAGGATATCCAGTGAACTTGACATAACTGTGGGAAACATTGGAGTCAAGATGGGCCAGCATCTCTGGATGGGCCAGCATGCCCCAACTAATTGAGGATGTACTGAGGGTAAAAGGGGATGGAACTCAATATGAGTATTTGGTATTTTATTAGGATCCCCATTAGCTGTTGTGAAAGCAGCAGCTACTCTCCCTGGGGTCCACACAAAACATAAAACATGACATAATACAGAACATTAATAAACAAGAACAGCTAAAGGACAGAGCTACATACATTGGTGTTCCTAATTGTGTTCCTAATGTTTTGTACACTCAGTGTATGGCAATAAATAGATACACCATATATACAAAACTATGTGGACACCCCTTCAAATCAGTGGATTCGGCTATTTCAGCCACACCCGTTGCTGACAGGTATATAAAATCTAGCACACAGCCATGCAATCTCCATAGACAAAACATTGGCAGTAGAATGGCCTTCCTGAAGAGCTCAGTGACTTTCAACGTGGCACCGTCATAGGATGCTACCTTTCCAACAAGTCAGTTCTTTACATTTCTGCCCTGCTAGAGCTGCCCCGGTCAACTGTAAGTGCTGTTATTGTGAAGTGGAAATGTCTAGAAGCAACAACGGCACAGCTGCGAACTGGTAGGCCACACAAGCTCACAGAATGGGACCGCCGAGTGCTGAAGCGCGTAGCGCATACAAATCATCTGTCCTCGGTTAGAACACTCACTACCGAGTTCCAAACTGCCTCTGGAAGCAACGTCGGCAAAATAACTGTTCGTCGGGAGCTTCATGAAATGAGTTTCCATTGCCGAAAAGCCGCACACAAGCCTAAGATCACCATGCCCAATCTCAAGCGTCGGCTGGAGTGGTGTAAAGCTCGCCAACATTTCTGGAGCAGTGGAAACGCATTCTCTTGAGTGATGAATCCCCGTTCACCATCTGGCAGTCCGACGGACAAGTCTGGGTTTGGCGGTTGCCAAGAGAACGCTACCTGCCCGATTGCATAGCGCCAACTGTAAAGTTTGGTGGAGGAAGAATAATGGTCTCAGTCTATTCTACAAGCGTACACACTCACATACAAACATATACGCACACAAAAAGTAAAATTGAGAATGTGTAATATGGTTCGGGCTAGGCCCCTTAGTTCCAGTGAAGGGAAATCTTAACGCTACAGTATACATTCTAGACGATTCTGTGCTTCCAGCTTTATGGTAAGAGTTTGGGGAAGACCCTTTCCTGTTTCAGCATGACAATGCCCCCGTGCACAAAGCGAGGTCCATACAGAAATGGTTTTTCGAGATCGGTGTGGAAGAATTTGACTGGCCTGCACAGAGCCCTGACCTCAACCCCACCGAACACCATTGGGATGAATTGGAACGTTGACTGCTAGCCAGGCCTAATCGCCCCACATCAGTGCCCGACCTCACTATTGTTCTTGTGGCTGAATGGAAGCAAGTCCCGCAGCAATGTTCCAACATCTAGTGGAAAGCCTTCCGAGAAGAGTGGAGGCTGTTATAGCAGCAAAGAGGGGACCAACTCCATATTAATGCCCATGGCCATGGAATGAGATGTTCGATGAGCAGGTGTCCACATACTTTTTGAAGAGAAGAAGAGAGAAACCTTATGCATCAACATATATTTGCGCATTTACATAAAAACACAAACACTCACCGTCCTCTTTGCACTCCTCAGGTGGTTTGGCCTTCTTGGCCAGCCGAGGATCCAGCCATGATGTGGTTTTGGTGTTGTGACTGGAGAGTAGAGAGAGAGAGACAGAGAGAAAGAGAGAGAAAGCAAGAGAGAGATGAGAAAGAGAGAGGAGAGGGAAGGAGAGAGGATGAGAAAGAGATACAGTACAGAAATAGAGAGGGTGAGGAGAGAGCGAGGCAAGGAAGATAAAGAGGGCAAGAAGAGCGAGATATCAGTGCCTGTGTGGTTGAGTGGCAATACCCCTAACACAAATCACATTAGAACCTGAAGGTCGTAGGTTCATTCCCTGCGACCACATTTTATACTTTCACTACTTATCCTGTATACCACTCCGTTTCTGTACTGTCTGAATATCCTACAAAAAATATGAAAGGAGGGTGGAATTCGCCTCTCATTTTAAAAAAAAGAAGAAGAAAGATTTAACCCCCCCATCCCCTGTGTATATGTGTTTTTTACAATGTTTTATGTGGAGTTGAGGTGGGCAGGACAGAGGTTGTGTGTGAGTGAAAGAGAGGAGGGTGAGATATTTAAGGTGAACAAAACTGCCATACATTCTCTAATTGTCCCTCTGCTTCTCATTAGAAAGACAGAGAGAGGGGGAGAGAAACAGTTTGTGTGTGTGTGTAATGACCTGTCAAACACCCTAGTAATGGCTGAAAAGGACTTAATGGAATATATTGTCTTTCTGTTACACCTACTGGATAAGAACACTAAAGCTTCGTCAGGAATTTAACACGTCATCTCGACACTTACAGTGCCTTCAGAAAGTATTCACTTTTGTGTTACACCCTGAATTTAAAATTTATTAAATTGAGATTTTGTGTCACTGATCTACACACAGTACCCCATAATGTCAAAGTGGAGTTATGTTTTTAGAAATGTTTACAAATTAATTACAAATGAAAAGCTGAAATATCTTGGGTCAATAAGTATTCAACCCTTTTGTTATGGCAATCCTATATAAGTTCAGGAGTAAAAATGTGCTTAACAAGTCACATAATACGTTGTAAATGACTACCTCATCTCCAATACAATTATCTGTAAGGTCCGTCAGTCAAGCTGTGAATTTCAAGCATGGATTCAACCACAAAGACCAGGGAGGTTTACCAATGGTTCGCAAAGAAGGGCACCTATTAGTAGCATACAAAAAAAAAGCATACAGTACTTTTAATATCCCTTTGAGCATGGTGCAGTTATTAATTACACTTTGGATGGTGTATCAATACACCCAGTCACTACAAAGTTACAGGCACCATTCCTAACTAAGTTGCCGGAGAGGAAGGAAACCACTCATGGATTTCAGCATGAGGCCAGTGGGGATTTTAAAACAGTTACAGAGTTTAATGGCTGTGATAGGAGATAACTGAGGATGGATCAACAACATTGTAGTTACCCCACAATACTAACATAAATGACAGAGTGAAAAGAAGGAAGCCTGTACATAATAAAAATATTCCAAAACATGCATCCTGTTTGCAATAAGGCACTAAAGTAATACTGCAAAAAATGTGGTAAAGAAATTGACGTTTTGTCCTGAATACAGTGTTGATGCAGCCACCACCATTCTAAGAAAAAAAAACGGTGACATTTCACAATTATTTGAAAACCTGAATTCCCACCAAATTCCCTGAACTCCATTCATTATTTGTACAGTAAAATGTTTTATGTGCTATAATTCAGTCAATTCCTGATGTATTTGAAACATTCAAAAATCCATTGAAAACTGTTTTATTAGAATTGCTTTTAAAATCTTTCAACAATTTTGTTGATGCTAGTGTGTGTGTGTACGCGTGCATTCATCATAATGTAGGGCTCCCCCCCACAAAAACACACACTTACTCTATGAAGTAGACCTCTCCTTTCTCTGTGTAGGCCATCTCCCAGTTGTCAGGTAGGGGTCCCAGTTCCTCCTCATCCCCCTCGGGGAGTTTGGGGGGTGATTTGGGGGAGTCCCCCTCAGGGGGCTCCTCTCCCTCTGTGGGGGGCTCAGTGGTGGGAGGGGGCAATGTGGGGGCCTCCACCACAGAAAGCTCCCCCGACCCGTCTGTGCTCTTGTCCTCATGCTCGCTTGTCTCTGTAGAAAAGATAGAGAGAAACAAATTGAGACAGTTGTTTTAAAGCGCTTCATACAGTATGGTCTTCTGTCATACACCTCAGTCCCTATAGTCCCTTTGGGCTGATTTTGACTTCAGATCTGCTGACTTCAGAAGTCTGCCATTAACATTGGTGGCGTTCCTGGCTGACTGCATTGCAGACATTGCATTGGATCAACCAATGGTTGTGCGCCATGTCATCGACTGCGCAGTAGGGCATCAGATTGCTATATCATATGATGTGTTTAGTTGATGTTAAAAATCTATCCGTGTGCTGTGAGATCTGGCAGGCATCTGCAATGTAGTCAGGCAGGAACGCCAGCATTGTTGAACGATCTCAACTCTGAAACAGCCCCTTTGTGTGGAGAGAGTGCTCTAGAGAAAACCACTTCCCTGTTGCTTAATGCTGAGCAAAGAAGAACACAGCTCTAGTGGTCCAAACACACTCTCTGAAGTGTCCCACGGAGCAGATAGGGTATACATGCACACACAGAATACATGACCTGTCTTTTAAACACACACTGCAGTACTATATGATGTTTCCATTAGTGTTCTCAACTAGAGCTCAACAAAGACCTTCTAACATCCATGTATTTACATGGGGTTAGAGAAAACTGTAGCCAACATCATCAATATACTGTTCAGTACGAGTGAAAACTCTGCTTTAAAGACCGGGTGTATGGGGCGTAGGGTGAATTTTCCCATAGACCCTGTCCGTTTTCTATTTACCCCACTAATGGTTTGTTAGGGCTGGGGGAGGGGAAGCTGATCCTAAATCTGTAGAGGAAACTACAGTCTCAAAAGTCTAATATCCTCGCCTTCAACTGAAAATATGTCTGTGCACATCCCTGTATGTGTCGTTCCTCAAGTGCTGTTTCACACTCACAGCCAATCAATAGTAGATCCCACTGTCCCATAGATCTCTTATCTTCTTACCTCACTCTCCTGTTTCTGTGTGTGTGTGTGTGTCACGGGGTGTGTATTTTAGCATTTATGTGCGTTCCAACAACAACAATGCACACACACACACACACGAACACACACCCAAAAGGGTTCTTTGGCTGTCCCCACAGGAGAACCCTTTTTGGTTCCAGGTAGAACCCTTTCGGTTTCAATGTGGAACCCTCTGTAGAAAGGGTTCTACATGAAACCCCAAATGGTTCTTCAAAGGGTTCTCCTATGAGGACAGCCAAATAACCCTTTTCTAAGAGTGCAGGGGACTGTCAAAACCATATAGGGCACCGTCGCTTTGATTTATCTCATTATGGCTCTGGCCCTATTTCTCCCTCTCCGTCCCTCTGTCACTCTCTTTTCTCTTCTCACCGTCTCTTTCGCTCTCAATGTTCTCCCTCTATTGCTCTCTGTCCTGGTCTCCATTAATACTTACACAGCTCTCTTCCTCCATGTATCCCTCTCCCTTTCTCTCCCACTCTCTCTGTCTCTCTATCCATTTCTCCATCTTAATCTCTCTCAATCTCCATCTCGTTTCCTCCCCGGTTGCTCCCCTTCTTTCAGCCCCTCCTCCACCTCTCTCTCTCTGACTCACTCAGTCTTGACCCCTGAAGTCGTCATCTGTCTCTCTTCATCTCTCTCTCTTTCTGTCGCCCCTCTCTTTTCATTATTCTCTTTGCTCCTCTTCCATGGCAGCGGGAAGATGATTTGTGATGGGGTTGCTGACAAGTATTTATTTACTTATTTTATATACATTTGAAGTCGGAAGTTTACATACACTTAGGTTTGAGTCATTAAAACTCGTTCTTAAACCACTCCACAAATGTCTTGTTAACAAACTATCGTTTTTGCATGACACAAGTAATTTTTCCAACAATTGTTTACAGACAGATTATTTCACTTATAATTTACTGTATCACAATTCCAGTGGGTCAGAAGTTTACATACACTAAGTTGACTGTGCCTTCAAACAGCTTGGACAATTCCAGAAAATGATGGCTTTAGAAGCTTCTGATAGGCTAATTGACATCATTTGAGTCAATTGGAGGTGTACCTGTGGATGTATTTCAAGGCCTACCTTCAAACTCAGTGCCTCTTTGCTTGACATCATGGGAAAATCAAAAGAAATCAGCCAAGACCTCAGAAAAAAATTGTAGACCTCCACCAGTCTGGTTCATCCTTGGGAGCAATGTCCTAACGCCTGAAGGTACCACGTTCATCAGTACAAACAATTGTACGCAAGTATAAACACCATAGACCACGCAGCCGTCATACCGCTCAGGAAGGAGACGCGTTCTGTCTCCTAGAGATGAACGTACTTTGGTGTGAAAAGTGCAAATCAATCCCAGAACAACAGCAAAGGACATTGTGAAGATGCTGGAGGAAACGGGTACAAAAGTATCTATATCAACAGTAAAACGAGTCCTATATCAACATAACCTGAAATGCCGCTCAGCAAGGCAGAAGCCACTGCTCCAAAACGGCCATAAAAAAAGCCAGACTACAGTTTGCAACTGCACATGGGGACAAAAATCATACTTTTTGGAGAAATGTCGTCTAGTCTGATGAAACAAAAATAGAACTGTTTGGCCAGAATGACCATCGTTATGTTTGGAGGAAAAAGGGGGTGGCTTGCAGGTCAAAGAACACCATCCCAAACGTGAAGCACGGGGGTGGCAGCATCATGCTGTGTGGGGTGCTTTTCAGCAGGAGGGATTGGTGCACTTCATAAAATAGATGGCATCATGAGGAAGGAAAATTATGTAGATATATTGAAGCAACATCTCAAGACATCAGTCAGGAAGTTAAAGCTTGGTCGCAAATGGGTCTTCCAAATGGACAATGACCCCAAGCATACTTCCAAAGTTGTGGCAAAATTGCTTAAGGACAACAAAGTCAAGGTATTGGAGTGGCCAACACAAAGCCCTGACCTCAATCCTATAGAACATTTGTGGGCAGATCTGAAAACGCTTGTGTGAGCAAGGAGGCCTACAAACATGATTCAGTTACACCAGCTCTGTCAGGAGGAATGGGCCAAAATTCACCCAACTTATTGTGGGAAGCTTGTGGATGGCTACCCGAAACGTTTGACCCAAGTGAAACAATTTAAAGGCAATGCTACCAAATACTAATTGAGTGTAGGTACACTTCTGACCCACTGGGAATGTGATGAAATAAATAAAAGCTGAAATAATAATCTCTACAATTATTCGGACATTTCACATTATTAAAATAAAGTTGTGATCCTAACTGACCTAAGACAGGGAATTGTTACTAGGATTAAATGTCAGGAATTGTGAAAAACTGATTTTAAATGGATTTGGCTAAGGTGTATGTAAACTTCTGACTTCAACTGTATATATACAGTATATTTTATTGTGATTTATCAGAGGTGCTGCAGCTATGCCCTCTTTCTATTTCTCCCTCTCTTTCCATCTCTCTCTCCTGAGGGACCTAGGCCCTGTGTTGGCTCGGCTGAGACTCACCTGCGTGTGTGTGCGCGTTTGTGTTTGTGTGCGTTTGTGTGAGTGTGTGTGTGTATGTACATGCTTGTGTGTGTACAAGCGCATGTGTGTGTTTGCAAACATGTTTGTAAACATGTGAGTGTGTGTGTGAGAGAGATTGTGTGTGTGTATTAGGGTTTAACATTTTCCTGGTATTTTACAAATGTTCCATCCTGAGAATAAATCACTTTTCTCCTGGGTAACCCGGTATTTCCCGCCAAAACCGGAAGTGTCGTTCTAAAGCATATAAAACCATTGGACAGAATCATGAAGGAAGAGCAGAAAGGAAGAGCTCAAGACGAAATTGTACTGCTGTGGTACAGACTGGCAGATACGGTAGAAATCGTGTGTAGCACAATGCTGTTTGCAATGCCATGGTAGGAGAACCGTCGCTCACAGTAATTTCTGCTAATTTCATCCAGTGATGCGTCGGCTTGAGGTAAAACTGCGTCGTTCTAGGACGCTTTGTATTTGTATTTATTATGGATCCCAATTAGCTGCTGCCTTGGCAGCAGCTACTCTTCCTGGGGTCCAGCAAAATTAAGGCAGTTATACAATTTTGAAAACAATAATATACATTAATTACAGAATTCACAGCACACTAAGGGTGTGCCCTCAGGCCCATATTCCACTACCACATATCTACAACACAAAATCCATGTGTATGTGTGTGTATAGTGCATATGTTATCGTGTCTGTATGAATGTGTCTGTGCCTATGTTTGTGTTGCTTCACAGTCCCCGCTGTTCCATAAGGTGTATTTCAATATTTTTTTTTAAATCTGATTCTACTGCTTGCATCAGTTACTTGATGTGGAATAGAGTTCCATGTAGTCATGGCTCTATGTAGTACTGTGCGCCTCCCATAGTCTGTTCTGGACTTGGGGACTGTGAAGAGACCCCTGGTGGCTTGTCTTGTGGGGTATGCATGGGTGTCTGAGCTGTGTGCTAGTCGTTTAAATAGACAGCTGGTGCTTTCAACATGTCAATACCTCACACAAATACAAGTAGTGATGAGGTCAATCACTCTACTTTGAGCCAGGAGAGACTGATATCCGTATTATTAATGTTTGCTCTCTGTGTACATCCAAGGGCCAGCCATGCTGCCCTGTTCTGAGCCAATTGCAATTTTCCTAAGTCCCTTTTTTTGGCACCTGACCACACGACTGAACAGTAGTCCAGGTAGGACTAGAGCCTGTAGGACCTGCCTTGTTGATAGTGTTGTTAAGAAGGTAGAGCAGCGCTTTTCCCGATCTTAGCTACTGTTGTATCAATATGTTTTGACCATGACAGTTTACAATCCAGGGTTGATCCAAGCAGTTTAGTCACCTCAACTTGCTCAATTTCCACATTATTTAAGATTTAGTTGAGGTGTAGGGTTTAGTGAAGGATTTGTCCCAAATACAATGCTTTTAGTTTGTGAAATATTTAGGAGTAACTTATTCCTTGCCACCCATTCTGAAACTAACTGCAGCTCTTTGTTAAGTGTTGCAGTCATTTTAGTTGCTGTTGTAGCTGACGTGTATAGTGTTGAGTCATCCGCATACATGGACAGACTGGCTTTACTCAAAGCCAGTGGCATGTCATTAGCAAAAATGTATTTAAGTAAGGGGCCTAGACAGCTGCCTTGGGGAATGCGTGATTCTACCTGGATTATGTTGGAGAGGCTTCCATTAAATAACACCCTCTGTGTTCTGTTAGACAGGTAACTCTTTATCCACAATATAGCAGGGGGTGTAAAGCCATAACACATGCATTTCTCCAGCAGCAGACTATGATCGAAAATGTCAAAAGCCGCGGTGAAGTCTAACAAAACAGCTCAATTTCTCTCAGCCAATCATCAGTCATTTGTGTAAGTGCTGTGCTTGTTGAATGTCCTTCCCTACAAGCGTTCTGAAAGTCTGTTGTCAATTTGTTTACTGTAAAATAGCATTGTATCTGGTCAAACACCATTTTTCCAAAACTTTACTAAGAATTGGTAACAGGCTGATTAGTCGGCTATTTGAGCCAGTAAAGGGGGCTTTACTATTCTTAGGTAGCGGAATGACTTTTGCTTCCCTCCAGGCCTGAGTGCACACACTTTCTAGTAGGCTTAAATTGAGGATATGGTAAATAGGAGTGGCAATATTGTCCGCTATTATCCTCAGTAATTTTCCATCCAAGTTTTCAGACCCTGGTGGCTTGTCATTGTTGATAGACAACAACAAAAATGTCACCTCTTCCACGCTCACTTTACGGAATTTACAATTCTTGTCTTTCATCATTTGGTCAGAAATACTTGGATGTGTAGTGTCAGCATTTGTTGCTGGTATGTCATCCCTAAGTTTGCTAATCTTACCAATGAACAAAATCATTACATTAATTGGCAATATCAGACGGTTTTGTAATGAATGAGCCATCTGATTCAATTAATGATGGAGCTGAGTTTGCCTTTTTGCCCAACATTTCATTGAAGGTGCTCCAAAGCTTTTTACTATCATTCTTTATGTCATTAATCTTTGTTTCATAGTGTAGTTTCTTCTTCTTTTTATTCAGTTTAATCATGTGATTTCTCAATATGCAATACGTTTGCCAACGGTTGTGCACCCAGACTTATTTGCCATTCCTTTTGCCTCATCCCTCTCAACCATACAATTTTTTAATTCCTCATCAATCCACAGTGATTTAACCGTTTTTACAGTCATTCTTTTATTGGTGCATGCTTATTAGTAACTGGGATGAGCAATTTCATAAAGTGTCAAGCACAACGTCTGTTTGCTCCTCATTACACACCACGGACCAACAAATATTCTTTACATCAACAACATAGGAATCTCTACAAAAGTTATTGTATGACCTCTTATACACTATATTAGGCTTTGCTACTATTAAACCCTAGTGTGTATGTATGTTTGTGTATTTTGTGAAATTAAGAATAGGACTAGTATCTATGTGTGGTTTTTGGACAGAACACAGTTATACAATTTGTAAGAGCAAGAGACATCATTCCATACAGACAGTGATCCCAGAGAGTGATCCTCCGCAGGGTCACACACACACAATCACACTCACTCACAGTCACATGCAACTCGCCCCCTTTCCCTTTCCCCCTCCCCCATACAAACACCAACCCTGCATGCCCCCTCACCTGGCGTGATGGCCACCCCATTCCCATTGACCACGGTGGGGCTGCTTTCCTCCTCCTCTTCCTCGGGTGGCTCCAGGCTGGCTTGCTGCTCCATGTTTCTGACTGACCGGTTCCTCTTCCTCTTGCCGTGGGTGCTGGGCCGTGCTCCGGGCAGCAGCGCCTCACTCACATTCAGTGGAGGGGCTGCCGGACTTGGCTCAGCTGGGGGCTTGGGAGTACCGTATAAGTTCTCTGGAGAAGAAAAACGAATGCACAACTGAGTAAGTGAGGTGCAGGCCGGCAGCACAAAACACTTTAAAAAGAAAGAGCTTGCCACACGCTGTATTGCTCCGCCGATCAAATACATGTATTCATCAACAAGTATTTCTACAGCAAGTAACCTTCCTCAAGGCACCATAGAGAGAGAGAGAGATTTCCCATGCCAATAAAATAATTGAATTGAGAGAGAGACACACACACAAACACAAACACACACAAACACACACACACACACACACACAGACACACATTCTTACACATTTAAGCACGTATGCACTCACACATTCCTGCAACAGTGGGACAAAATCAGATACAGCTACCACACAAAGAATGTGTTTGCATGTGTACTACACACATACAAACACACAAGCTCAAACACACACATCAAATGATGGGGGTATAAGATTAAGCTTCACACATCCCTTCATATATACAGTGCCTTCGGAAAGTATTCAGACCCCTTGACTTTTTCCAAATTGTGTTACGTTAGCCTTATTGATTAAATAAATAAAAATCCTGAGTAATCTACACACAATACCACATAATGACAAAGCGAAAACAGGTTTTTAGAAATGTTTGCTAAATTATTAAACATTAAAAACTGAAATGCCTTATTTACATAAGTATTCAGACCCAGACTCGATCACAGGTACATCCTGTTTCCATTGATTATCCTTGAGATGTTTCTACAACTTGATTGGAGTCCACCTGTGGTAAATTCAATTGATTGGACATGATTTGGAAAGGCACACACCTGTCTATATAAGGTCTGACAGTTGACAGTACATATCAGACTAAAACCAAGCCATGAGGTCAAAGGAATTGTCCGTAGAGCTCAGAGACAGGATTGTGTCAGGGCACTGATCTGGGGAAGGGTACAAAAAAATGTCTGCAGCATTGAAGATCCCCAAGAACACAGTGGCCTCCATCATTCTTAACTGGAAGAAGTTTGGAACCACCAAGACTCTTCCTAGAGCTGGCCACCCAACCAAACTGAGCAATCGGGGGAGAAGGGCCTTGGTCAGGGAGGTGACCAAGAACCTGATGGTCACTCTGATAGAGCTCTAGAGTTCCTCTGTGGAGATGGGAGAACCTTCCAGAAGGACAACCATCTCTGCAGTACTCCACCAATCAGGCCTTTATGGTGGAGTGGCCAGACGGAAGCCACTCCTCAGTAAAAAGGCACATGACAGCCCCCTAGGAGTTTTGTCAAAAGGCACCTAAAGACTCTCAGACCATGAGAAACAAGATTCTCTAGTTTGATGAAACCAAGATTGAACTCTTTAGCCTGAATTGCCAAGCATCACATCTGGAGGAAACCTGGCACCATCCCTACTGTGAAGCATGGTGGTGGCAGCATCAAGCTATGGGGATGTTTTTCAGCAGCAGGGACTGGGAGATTAGTCAGGATCGAGGCAAAGATGAATGGTGCAAAGTACAGAGAGATCCTTGATGAAAACCTGCTCCAGAGCGCTCAGGACCTCAGACTGGGGCGAAGGTTCACCTTCCAACAGGACAACGGCCCTAAGCACACAGCCAAGACAATAAAGGAGTGGCTTCGGAACAAGTCTCTGAATGTCCTTGAGTAGCCCAGCCAGAGCCCGGACTTTAACCCGATCGAACATCTCTGGAGAGACCTGAAAATAGCTTTGCAGCAAAGCACCCCATCCAAACTGACAGAGCTTGAGAGGATCTGCAGAGAAGACTGGGAGAAACTCCCCAAATATAGGTTTGCCAAGCTTGTAGCGTCATACCCAAGAAGACTCAATTCTGTAATCTCTGCCAAAGGTGCTTCAACAAAGTACTGAGTAAAAAAAAAAAACTCTGTCCATAAGGTGTAGATAGTAAGTATAGACCGGAAGTAGAGGCCTGGGCGTTGTTGTTCACTAATTTACTCCAAGTAGGGAAAGGATGGTGGGGTTGAAAAGTAATAAAGGGGAATATATATATAAAAAATAAAAATAAAACATGGGGGATTGGAAGTGATGCAGACAATTACATTGATAGAAGATACAATCTATCTGCAATATTAAGCTGATCCATCCCCCCAATAAAAAAAATATATATATCAAAAAAAAAAAAAAAAAAAAAAAAAAACGTACTGAGTAAAGGGTCTGCATACTTATGGAAATGTGATATTTCAGTTTAATTTTTTATAAATTAGCACAAAAAAAATGGAAAACCTGTTTTTGGTTTGTCATTAAGTGGTATTGTGTGTAGAATGATGAGCGGGAAAAAATGAATTAAACAATTTTAGAATAAGGCTGTAATGTAACAAATGTGGAAAAAGTAAAGCGGTCTGAATACTTTCCGAATGCACTGTACATATCCCTAACCCTTCAATGTTTACAGATCTGAAGGATCTGGATAGGTATAAGCAGTGTTGTGGTGGAGCGTCCAACATATTCCTTATTGCCACTATTCCCCTAACCAGCTCTTACCCAGATTATAACTTCACATTTCAAGGCTGCATTAAGTTATTGACTCAGAGACAGACCGAGCCCCGCTCAGGTCATACCTCCCATCCTCTCTAAGCGTTATCGTCATAATGTTGTCTATACTACCAGGGTGTTGTCAGTTGTAATCTTCTACCCATTCGATTGAACTCCACTCTTAGATCTGCTATTGTTAGCTCAAAACAGGAGCCCACTGTGGTAGGCTCACCTAGTGCTTTAGTTATGTGAATTCTAAAAACGTTAATACCCCCACTGTTTTCAAATCATGTAGAGAGCCTGGGATGTTGCATGATAGCAACCAAAGACCATGTAAGTCAGTTTATAACATTCCATCATTGGTTACTCTGAGAGTTCCTCATATTGACATTGGCTGCGGTCTCAGGCCCAATGGTGCTAACCTTGGAAAAGTAATCCCAAATTCTTCTCCTTTCTCTGTTACTAATAGGGGATAGACCAAATGTTGCAATTACAGTGGGGAGAACAAGTATTTGATACACTGCCGATTTTGCAGGTTTTCCTACTTACAAAGCATGTAGAGGTCTGCAATTATTATCATAGGTACACTTCAACTGTGAGAGATGGAATCTAAAACAAAAATCCAGAAAATCACATTGTAAGATTTTTAAGTAATTCATTTGCATTTTATTGCATGACATAAGTATTTGATCACCTACCAACCAGTAAGAATTCCGGCTCTCACAAACCTGTTAGTTTTTCTTTAAGAAGCCCTCCTGTTCTCCACTCATTACCTGTATTAACTGCACCTGTTTGAACTCGTTACCTGTATAAAAGACACCTGTCCACACACTCAATCAAACAGACTCCAACCTCTCCACAATGGCCAAGACCAGAGAGCTGTGTAAGGACATCAGGGATAGAATTGTAGACCTGCACAAGACTGGGATGGGCTACAGGACAATAGGCAAGCAGCTTGGTGAGAAGGTAACAACTGTTGGCGCAATTATTAGAAAATGGAAGAAGTTCAAGATGACAGTCAATCACCCTCGGTCTGTGTCTCCATGCAAGATCTCACCTCGTGGGGCATCAATGATCATGAGGAAGGTGAGGGATCAGCCCAGAATTACACGGCAGGACCTGGTCAATGACCTGAAGAGAGCTGGGACGACAGTCTCAAAGAAAACCATTAGTAACACACTACGCCGTCATGGATTAAAATCCTGCAGCGCACGCAAGGTCCCCCTGCTCAAGCCAGCGCATGTCCAGGCCCGTCTGAAGTTTGCAAATGACCATCTGGATGATCCAGAGGAGGAATGGGAGAAGGTCATGTGGTCTGATGAGACAAAAATAGAGCTTTTTGGTCTAAACTCCACTCGCTGTGTTTGGAGGAAGAAGAAGGATGAGTAAAACCCCAAGAACACCATCCCAACCGTGAAGCATGGAGGTGGAAACATCATTCTTTGGGGATGCTTTTCTGCAAAGGGGACAGGACGACTGCACTGTATTGAGGGGAGGATGGATGGGGCCATGTATCGCGAGATCTTGGCCAACAACCTCCTTCCTTCAGTAAGAGCATTGGAGATGGGTCTTGGCTGGGTCTTCCAGCATGACAACGACCCGAAACACACAGCCAGGGCAACTAAGGAGTGGCTCCGTAAGAAGCATCTCAAGGTCTTGGAGTGGCCTAGCCAGTCTCCAGACCTAAACCCAATAGAAAATCTTTGGAGGGATCTGAAAGTCCGTATTGCCCAGCAACAGCCCCTAAACCTGAAGGATCTGGAGAAGGTCTGTATGGAAGAGTGGGCCAAAATCCCTGCTGCAGTGTGTGCAAACCTGGTCAAGACCTACAGGAAACATATGATCTCTGTAATTGCAAACAAAGGTTTCTGTACCAAATATTAAGTTCTGCTTTTCTGATGTATCAAATACTTATGTCATGCAATAAAATGCAAATTAATTACTTAAAAATCGTACAATGTGATTTTCTGGATTTTTGTTTTAGATTCCGTCTCTCACAGTTGAAGTGTACCTATGATAAAAATTACAGACCTCTACATTCTTTGTAAGTAGGAACACCTGCTAAATCGGCAGTGTATCAAATACTTGTTCTCCCCACTGTATATGCAATATTGTAGCCATACCAACTATATCAATATCAACCATCAGACATGGCCTGCAACCACCTACTGAACTTAGCTTGTTTGAGTTGGACTTTCCACATGACTCTAAAAATTGTAAAGGACTTGGGTTGATGCATTTGAACATTAGGAGCTTACTTCCTAAACTGGATTACATCAAGATCTGGGCATTCTGGTATTGACTGAAACTTGGATCTCTAATGTAAACCAATCAGGGTTTAGGCCTGGGCAGAGCAGTATTACAGCAACCACTTCAGTTGTTAATAATCTTGTCAATACGTTAGACACTAACATTTAATGTTTTGCTTGTTTTGTGGACCTGTCAAAAGCTTTTGATACTGTTGATCATGCTATTTTATTGAATAAATTGTCCTTGATAGGCCTGAGCTCTGATGTTCTTGGTTTCATAATTATCTTAGTGAAAGTACTCAGGCCATCGTGATGGATTTCTTGAAGTACATAAGGGGTCGATTTTGGGACCT